TCCTCGAGTGCAACTCGTAAAAGAGACAATCCTCGAGTGTCGGTGAAACTCCCGTGTTTCGTGCGTTGCCCCCAAGCCGTTGTGGCTGACTGGCTCCTTTGGGAAGAAGCAGAGAAACGGATCTACATAGAGCTGCTGTTCAGACTGGGGGGGTGGGGAAAGGAGGAGGCTCTGGGGCAGGTTTGTGCCTGTTTCGCAGAAGCGCTCTCACGTATCGCTTCTCCCCTCCTCAAAGGTTTGCAGCTGGTTGGATGGAAGATGGTGAGTCTGGCCTGTTTGCAGATCAGCTTTCCAAGTGCACTTTATGGTCTCTACATAAGTTTCCAGCTCGGTGTCTAGGCGATACATCGCATATGTCCCAGCCTCGCTCCCTGTGGAGTTTACATCATTTGTTTTTAAACTTCCAGTATATTTTCTCTTCCTCTTCCAAAAGCTGTAAGGAATTAGCTGCTAAACTGAAACAGGAGGGCAGTTCTCTTGTTAATAAAGAGCTGATTTTGGCCGCAGCCTGTAGCACAGCTTCTCGAGCAGCTCCTGTCTTTGGCTGCCAGAGAAGTAGTGCGAACGCCTTCCACAATCGGGATGGAAAACCCAGAGGTGAAGCCGAAGAGGCAAAACTGGGATGGCCAAAAGGAGGTGTTGACACCTTGGCCCAGTGGCTGCAGGCGAGCCCTGGTCACCTTCCTCATCCAGGGCTCCAGCTTGGCAGAGGCTGCAGGAGGCCGTGACTTCCCGAGAGAGCCTGGCAGCTCCTGGTGACCTGAGCCTGAGTTGAGGGGAATGAGGCGACTTCTTCAGCTCCTGAGGCAGTCGGATGAGTTGTGGAGGCTGCGTGTCCCAGCGTGGTCTCCCTCCCCTTGTAGCTTCTCTTTGGCCCTTGTGTGTATCCAGGCTGGGTCGGACGATCCCTGTCCCCGAGCCTGGCCAGCTCAGAGGGATTCCCGGTCAGTGTGTGCATCTCAGCTTTTTTAAAATGTATTTGTGTGCTTCAGAGCTCTTTGCCTGTGAGTGGGGAGAGGGGCTCTTACTTGCCTGACGGCCCGGAGGCTGTGAAGCTGAAATCACCCCAGTGAGGCGCAGAACTCGGTGCTGCCCGAGAGCCCAGTGGGCAGAGACGCGGAGGGGTCATTTCTCTCCTTGTCAGGCTAAGAGAGATGGGCAGGAGGGTCAGAGGTTAAAGCTGATTTTCCAAAAGCAGGGGTCATCGACCGTTGCTCTTGGTCAGTCCTGAACTCAGGGTGACCGAGGAGAAAAGAGTACTATTATTTAGTTCAGTACCAGGAAATCAGCATCCCCTGCAGGAGCCAAGCTGCCAGTTTCTATTGATTCTTTTTTTTTGGTCTTTGTTTTCTTTTTCTTTCCCGCTGGCGCTGCGCACACAAATCCCCCCAAAGCAGCTGTACAGCTCCCAGCCTCAAACTCCCTTTGCAACAACCCCGGGGAGCTTTCAAAGGTCGCATTTCCCGGGACTCTGACAGCTTTTAGCTTCTCCAGCGAGTCCTCTTGCTGTAACAGTCTGCAGAGAAGCTGGTTTTACTGGGCTGGAGCAAAGCAAGGAGCTTCTCTCGTGGCTGCCCTCCCCGGCTTTCTCACAGCAAGTCCTGCTCGGGGAGCAGGAGAGCGTCTCATTACTAGAGGTGTAAGTTCTGCAAACTCCAGCAGCTCAGAAAAATGATCCTCCTGCCCTAAAACCCTCAGGTTTACATCAGGAGGAGGGAATCCAACTTCACATTTAGCCCCGTGGCCCCCCAAGAGAATCCGACGCCTTTTTGGGGGGTGAGGGTGAGGCTGTTTCGGTGGGTGCACAAAGAGGTTTTGCTTCTCGCGAACCAAACTTAACAGTTTTCCGTGTAGAACCGTGTGTTCTCCTCTTGGGAAACTCCTTGTAAAGGATAGATTTACTGTCCTGCTGAGTCAAACAAGGGAGATGCTGGACTTCCCCTTTGCTTTGGAGATTCAATCAAGTGACAGGTGATTTATTTTTAGCGTTTTCTCTTTGTCTACAGAGAGGGGAGGCCAGTTAAAAAGGCTCAGGGGTGCTGGGAAGCAACGCTATATATGCATAAAGACTGTTTCAGTGCTGAACACTATAAATTCAGTGGTGGATAAAAAAGAAAAAAAGAATGTAAATATGCACTTAATGCAGAATTTTATGGGTGATCCTAATTTAATATATTGCAAACTTTGTAAATACTTGGGGAAAGCCTGTAAAGTGTGTAAATAAATGAGATTTGTATGTAAGAAGAAGAATAAAAAAAGTTTTTACTTTTTGCAGTTAAATAGAAGTGTTAATGCGCCTTTTCCCCTTTCCTGCCGTCTTTTAGTGTTGCAGGCCAGCCATCGAGGGGCTATTTAACCCCTTTTAGGGCACTTTTTCTAAGCGAATGTGTCATTTTAAGTGAGAAGTCCGATTGCTTTTTGTTTGGAAACCATCAAAAGAAAAATTTTGGTGAAAGGTTTTGTTGGTTTTAGCCTGGTTCCTTAAACACAGTTGACGCAACACCTCTGCCTGTTCCTTCTTCCCAGTAGCAATCTCCATCCTTCCTTCCCGATTCACCTTATTTCAGCCAAACCTTGAGCGGCAGAAGACAAGAAGCTCCTTTGGAGCTCGTGAAAGTCGAGGAGAGAAAGATCCAGGGGCTCCAAGACAGCGCTTTAGCCTCGTTACGCACCAGAGAGGCCGCACTGAAGATCCTCAGGACGTGAGTCGGTAGAAAACCAGGCTTGGTTCTCTCAGCTGGGCAGGGATGTGTGTTTCTGAAGCCCACCGGCCCGCGGGGAGGCTGTCGGCTCCCGGGGGGCGCGGGGGACGGCCAGGCTGTGCCTCGAGCGAGCAGCGGGAGAGCTGCATTCCTCCCGCGCTTACCTCATGCCGGCTGGACACGCGCTCCTCAGCTCCAGGGTGGGGCTTGGACCTCACGCTGTTGCTCTCGGTGCTTCAGATGTTGGCTCCAGAAAGAGCCGTCGGGACAGGTCGGGGAGTTGAGAAGCGGCCCCTTTGCCAGCAGCTGCCGCTGACCTCGCCGGACACCTCGGCCGTTACTCCAGTTCCCATGTGCTCTGGTTGTGACTCCTCCAGGGTTGTTTTCTCTTTTCTGGTTGTGACTCCTCCAGCGTTGTTTTCTCTTCCCCACGAGCACTGTGTGTCCTGGTTTTCTTAACCCTTGCGTCTCTGCGCCATCCCCTGCGAGGCCAATGGGGATGTTGGAGTGCCGGGGGGTCCTTCCTCTCTGCGTCGCGTTTGCAGAGACCAGGACGTGCATTGAGGTCTTGCTCCTCCTAATCCAGTTCACAGCGATGTGGCCACTGGGAGTTGGAGCCCATGTTGATCCTTTCTAGTTGTTTCCCCAGGTCTCTGGAGATGTAGCAGCAGAGATTTTGAGGTGCCTCGTGGTGGAGGTGGATTTACCTTCACCAAGAGTCCAATCCTGCCCTTTGCCGTAGCGATAAGTGGGAACCTCTGGTTTGACCAGAGGAGTTGAAGACAGCCCGTTGAGATGTCAGCCTCAGACCCTGCTTGCAGAAATTTTTGGACTATTGAGGGTGCGGTAAACCCTGGACCTAGTGAAGGAGAAGGTAATACGCAGAGGTGAGGGATTAGGGGGGCAGTAGGGGAGCTATTGTGGCGGGAGAGGTGGTCAGCGAGGTCTGAAGCAAAAGGAAAAATGCCAAAGGATTGCCTGGGGAGCCGGGAGGGGAGAGAGGGAGGCAGAGCCGACAGTGTGTGATTAACTTGGCTCCGCTGGCCAGAGCTGCCCACCCGCTGATCCTTTCGAACAGGCTGTGATCCCCGAAGGCAGCTCCTGGAGCAGAGCCGGGGCGGTTGCACAATCGCAGATGGGGAGGGAGAGGCCGCAGGCGGGCTCCAGGGT